GCACAAATGGCACATTTTTCCAAAGATATTCTTTGCCCTATGACAAAGTGCGCCCACTACGGTCCTGCTGAGGTGTTCTGATTGGTTAGTAGCATGTATGCAGTTTCTAAGTGTTGCACTTTTTATCATCTGTCAGGTAAAAAATCATGTTTGTTTATACAAGTAAAAGCATACCTAACCTCAATAAGATGTTTAATTTGAGGTATCAGTCATGTTTGTAGCACAATGCATGGTTACACGTCAGAGTTGTGTTACTACCAGTGCACTGTCAGAAGAAATGTACAAAAACTGTACCTTTAGGGCTAAAACAGTACCCTCAAAGGGACACCTTTGTACCTTTTTTACCCATATAGGGTGCACATTAGTACCTTAGAGTAGTAAGATGTACTCTTATGGTACTAATATGCACCCTTTAGGGGGTAAAGAAAGTACAAAGGTGTTCCTTTGAGGTACACTGCCCCAGTGACAAGCTGTTGTACCCCATTTTGCACTTGTTTTGAGAGTGTGTGAGGGCCTTAGAACAAATTCCTAACCATAAGTATGAGCAACAGTAGTAGAGATGCTTGCCTTAGCGAGGCTATTTACTTACGATCTGATGGACTGAGAAAAAGAATGCCGACAAGCAAAATCAAATTGAAAATGTAAGCGTAATCTCAGACTTCTGTAATTAGTCTCTCTCACTAGTTTAGTTGGAATCAATGTAAAGTCACTTCCGTATCTCATTACAATAGTCTTTCTCTCTTTCTCTGACTGAATATCCTTCCTGCGGCAGCCAGAGAGACATCTCAGGCTCCAGTCACGCATTGAATGTCTGTCTGGTCTGTTTCTCATGATGAATTTTGTTTGTCCTTCCCTCAGAGGGCAAATGACAAAAAAGTCATAACAGGAAAAAGAAAGAGGAGACAAAAGAACAGACGCACTCTATTGCCTTAAAAAAATACAATATACCTGCACCCATACGTTCACTGGGCATTGGCCGTCTAGTGATTTATCGAGTGAATCATGTCTCTTCTCTGGGCAGAGAATCCATGGAGAGTGAAGAGGACAGTCATTTACGTCTAACCCTTATTATCATGCTGAAGAGCTCGTCACTGAAGCAGTCTGTCTGACAGCACTCTTACAAAACAGACAGAGTGACCGGACAACCACTATTTCTGATTACTGCTGTTACTTCACTCATTTTACTGCTGTTACTTTAAACATGTGCTTACAGTCTGTGAATACTAAGCAACATTTGAAGAGTTCAGATGCAAAAGCCTCTATGTTATTTCACTTTAATTGCATAGAAAAGGACCTATACATTGCTATTAGAGTAAAATTACTGAACCTAAACATAGGAGCCTGATAAAAATGCTCATTTTAGAAGAAAATTTCAGATGGCACTTAGAGGCTTTGGCATCTGAACTCTTCATTTTTTGTCAAAACCCAGAATGTGTTTGACATAACCAAAAGGCCTTGAAAAACGTTCTTAAAGGTGAAGTGTGTCATTTCCACTAGCTCCAAATGTATTGCAGAAATAATGAAAAGCAGGTTTCCCCAACACAATAATACTGCTTCACTGCTTTTTATTAATATTTGAAATACTTATTATTAATTTTTGAAAACGTTTGTCTAATCAAAATTGTGTGATTTGACCAATAAGCGTAAATAATGCAGAAAAAATAAAAAATCTAAATATTGGAGAGGACCCTACAAACCCCCATTAAAGGGTTAGTTCACCCAAAAATTAAAATTAGGCTGTGTTTTACTCACCCCCGAGGCATCCTAGGTGTATATGACTTTCTTCTTTCAGACGAATCCAGTCGGGGTTATATTAAAAATTGTCCTTGCTATTCCAAGCTCTATCACTGCAGTCAGCGGGTGTTGCAGTGCTTCAGTCCAAAAGAAGTGAAATAAAAAGCGCCCATCCATAAAAAAGTGTCTCACACGGCTCCGGGGGGTGAACAAAGGCCTCCTGTAGCGAATCGATGCGTTTTTGTAAGAAAAATATCCATATTCAAAAAGTAATACTCACATTAATCTAGCTTGCGCCAGCAGTTGTACACAGAAGCAGCTCCGGGCGGATGACATATGAGGTCAGCGCTGTGCATGCACTGGTGAGTCTCATGAACACCAACGTTTGTTTACAGGAGCAAAGGAAGCAAAGTTTCCTTACTTGATGCAACACCCGCTGACTGCAGTGATAGAGCTTGGAATAGCCAGGACAATTGTTTATATAACTCCGACTGGATTCGTCTGAAAGAAGTCATATACACCTAGGATGACTCGGGGGTGAGTAAAACACATTTTTGGGTGAACTAACCTTTTAATGTGTCTTTTTTATGACAAGGCAAGGTAAGTCCAGAATGCCAAATGTCATGTGGTGCGACTCTTCAAAAACCTGGTGATATTTATGTATTTAATATTTCATTCAAATTCTACCTTGAAAATTATATTTAAAAACTATTTTGAGAATGACGATTTGGATGTGTACACTGAAATGTTTCAAGGCATAAGGAAAATATGTTAATTTTACCCAAAGGTTTACCCACAAGACATTTTTAGAAAAACTTTAAATCTTTTTTAAAACATGGATTAAAATGTTTTCAAAACCATATTTAAACCAACATGAATCCAAATGGGTCCCTAATACAATGATTTAAATTAAAAATGTTAAAATAAATGTTATTGCATTGTATGTTTTCTGTTTCACCAAAATTTGGTTACACTGTATTTTAAGGTGTCCAGTGTATACAATTAAGTACGGAGTAATATCAATTAAAGGTGCAGTAAGCAATTTCTGAGAAACACTGTTGAAAGTGGATCAATATAGGGGTGTGATCCATCTGGATTATTTGCTTGTAATTCTGAATAATTTACTGTTATTACTATAGTACGTACATGTAACATGTGATAATAAGGACACTGTAAAAATAAAGTGTTACTGAAAATTACTTTGTATTTCATTGGCTCTACAAAAACCAAGCTGAGCTGGAAAGTTCAGGGTTTCAGTGTCATAAGTTGCTGTTCTGGCCACCAATCAACCATAAGAAGTGTGAAGAATGGTAAGAGACAGAAATGGCATAGCAGCCTGGAAGGAGAACAAATGGAAACAAAACAACGGGCAGAGCAGATTGGTTTAGCCAAGAGTGAGGGAAGGAAAGCTTATAGAGTCTGGCGCTGTAATTGGGCCACATATGAAACTCAGCATGTGTCCTTCTCTCACAGAAAATCCGAGAGCACCGTGAGAAAATTCTCCTCCCTATGCTGGAGATCAATTTCACACAAAGTGCTAAGGATTTGCCGCAGAACCATGGAGGAGTCACTGAAATAGACTTGGCTTGTGATATTGGACTGGGTTTGGCCTGGACCTCAGCACTTTTACTGGATGTTTTGTGCAGGAAGCATTGGTTTTGAGCGGAGGTGCTCTAAGCTGAGACCAGCATCTCAAAACTTGCATTCAGAGGCATTTTATAGTGCTTTGCTCTAGATCTGAAAGTGTGTTCTTACTTACTGGCGTGGGAGAGGTCCAAACTGTGTGGCAAAATGGACGCAATAACACTTTTACGACAACTGTGCCTCTGTGATTATAGCTAAAGCATGAATTAGTCATTATTGTATCACTCACATTAACAATCACGAGTGGAGAAAATATCCCTGAATGCAGATTCCGTGAAGCTAGCTGAATCTAATTTTGTCAGGCAAAATAGCCTTGTGGCACCATCTCAGAGCTACTACACTCTCACTCTCAAAGCCTCATAAATATTTGACGAAAAACAATAAATAGAGACACAGCCGCAAGCCACTGAAGTATTAAAGTGTAACATATGTGCACTAAAAAATTGAGAAAGCAATTCAAGCACAGAATGGACAAACACTGTCTCTTCACTTTTCTATTTGTCCGTCTGTCCATCTATCTATCCCCTGATAGCACACATACATCACGGAGACGTCTATTTAACGTCTGCATTTGTACATCTGGAAGACGTATTTTTCAAATAGACATCTATTTGACGTCTATTTGATGTCTGCATTTACATCTGGAAGACATACTTTTTAGAGTGTTTGCTCATCTGTACTACATCTATAAGACGTTTCCTATCAGATGTCAAATAGACGTCTATTAGATGTCTTTATGATGTTTATGATGTAGAATGTATGTAAAACTGACAACTTACAGATGTCTGTCAGATGTTTGTACTCAGCAGATGCTTTCTAGATCAAACAATCTTTAACAGACATCTTGCAGACATGTGCTATCTGGGTCTATATCTTTTCTATCTCAGTTTTACACTATAGGCTATAAACCTATTCCAAATGTTTTCCAGAAAATATATAACACCCTGGTCACTGTCATATCCACTTATTTATGTCCACCTTTTCTGTGTTGAATATTTCAGTGACTCCTTTAGACCAAAGATTTCATATACCACTAGTTGGCATGCAGTAGACATGCTTAAGCTCATATGCCTTGTCACTGCAATGCCTTGAAAGGCACATTGCAACATTGCATGCTAAAATATTTCAGGCCAGCAGTAACATGATTACGGCACCACCACGATGCACTCGTGTCTACTCTTTTGTAATAACGACAGCACTCCACTGCGTCCACTATACCGTGATATCCGAATCTCGAGCGAATCGTTATTTTGAACGGGTTCTTTTTATTGATTCATTCGAATCGAATCGCGTTTGTAAATCACAGGAGTAAAACTGTGAGTGTGAAGTGGGTTATATATCCCAAAAACAAAACCGCATTTTGTAAAATCACACAACCAAAACACATTGCTAAAGTAAAAATACAATATGGAAAAATGCATTTTACCACAAAAATAAATCGACGACAATTTAAACGAATCAGTGAATCGTTTTTATTAAACGGTTCACCGAACGAACCGATTCGTCAAAATGAATCGGACCTCCCAGTGCTTGCTGCCATCTGTTCGGAGCAGCGTGACGCCCCCTGCTGTCTGATGCATGAAAGGCGCTGGGCAAGTTTCACACAACCCTGAGCGACTCCTCAAAGCAATGTGTGCTGGAATTTGACTCGGGTGATGCTCTCAACAGCGGGTTTCGTATGCTTTTCGCTTGTGACCTAAAAGCTGCCGTTTTGTCCGTGCGGAGGTAAAATGAGCAGCACGGAGATCCAGAATTCGGGAGAGGAATCCTGCTTTCGCCTGGAGCACCTACCGGGCAAGAGTCCGCGCCTAGCGGGCAAGGCGTCTCCGCAGGTGAACAACCGCTGGGATGCGCCTGAAGTGACGGCCAACGGGGTCCTTGACATTGAGGATCGGATTTTACGAATCACCGGTTATTACGGCTATAACCCCGGATACTCCAGCCACAGAAGTAAGTATTCAGAAACACACGCAATAACAAATGCAATAGTAATGGTGTCGAGATCAAGTCACGGTTGTCTGCCCGCTGTGTTGGCCTTGAACGATGAATCTATGAATATGAATGGAAACACATGCTGTGTGGACGGTCTCGTTTTGTTTGTAGGGTGCTTTGTTCATAAGTTATGTGCATACTGCATAAATCTGAACAACACATAAATTCAGTCGGCAGAACTTTCTGTCAAAGTTTTGAATGTAACATTATAGGATATAGGCTAATGTAAAATATAACAGGATAAGGTGAACAGGATAAAAGTAGATTTAAGAAATAAAAATAAAGAATGGAAAATAAAGAATTGATTCGATTTAAACTATTCAAAATGTTACAAATAGGATAATAGATTATATAATAATAATAATAATAATAATAAAATGCCCCTTTATAAACATTTCTATTCATTAGTGAAGTAATTTAGTGTCAACAAATATAAATAGCCTATCTTGCAAATGTCTGAAGACAACTGTGTGGTAAGCTAAATACATATGGCTTTATTTATCTTTTATTGGCTTATGTTTTATGAAACAGACTATAAATAAAGCTAAGTCATACTGCACAGCACACTCATAAATTCAATGATTGTAATTACAAGTAAATCACAAGCAATACACATTGCAAGATGTGTGGTTAGACAAAATGCGCAGGTTGAAAGACACTTATTTGTTGAACAAAATGACAGTGTGAATGGAGTAGAGTGATGATTGGATCCTAATTATAGTCTGTGTGTGCCATTCCTGAATTTCAATACCTCAGTCTATTTTTATGCAGTCGAAAGAGTCTTGGCACAGGACAGATGTGAGGTTCCACTGTTGTAAGCATGCAGGATTTTAATGACTTTTGTTATTATTATTGTGGCCAAGTGTAAGTGCACATATCACACAATGGCCAGTGCAGGAGTGGTGTTGTAGCCTGTGTCTCTGGTGTGCCATTATTACACTGGCGCAGTGTGTAAGTTCATGAATCATGTCTAATGAATATCAGTGTGATAGTGTATGTGTGCATGCATTTGTGTGTGATGTCTCGAAGTCCCTGAGGACGGTAGATGGTAACGTTTACTCAGCGCTGCATTCATCTTTGCCACTCGTTTTGTTACATAAGTACATCACACATGATGGTCTGTGCCAGATACGCCAATTAAAGCAAAAACCAATGGGGAGTGCTTTTACGAGTGCTTTTTACTGTGCTCAACTAAAAACTCTTTAAAAGTCCAAAAAGGTTTTTAGATTTTTTTTTTTAATGCGAAGGTGTCACATTGAAATGTTTCCTCGGAGACTATGCCATGCTCACCGCTGTTTTAAGACCTGACTCAGCAGTATATGTAGTGAATTACAGTGTCAGTCATAGACAGGCAAGAAGAACAATGTGAAAGCACTATTATTTAACAGAACTAGTTGTAATCACCATCCATCCCAAAGAACTCCGTCTGTACTGTGTCTGTAATTGATGTCAAAGCCCAAAAGTGATGCTTTGTAAAACTAGTTAAGTGTTGGTTTCGCTCTAATCCATATAGTCAATTGCATATTTAATCCTGAGGAAATGGACAATGGCAAGTCTTTTCATGATTAATGAATGCAACAGTTTAATTTGTTAAAGTCAAGATGAAAGAGTGTTTGCAACCCATTTGACCTCTTTGTTGGCAAAGGTTTACCAAATGAAACATGGTATTAAACAAGAAAAAAAATGCTGAGCGGGATTGATTGGATTGTGAAAAGTGGCCATTGACAGACATACTGTAAATTTGAACCTAAAACACATTTTTGGGGAGGCTTTCTGACTGGGACATGGAATGTGAAGGTCATCCTCAAGAGCATCTCAACCATTGGTGTTTGTTGGACCTTTTCTTTTCCAGTATAAATTCAAATTTCTCATTTAATGTTTGCACAATTTCAAAAAGTAACATATACTATGTTTTTGTATGTTTATAATATATATTATAATTAATGTATAATTTTTATTTTAAAATATAAAATGCTGTGTATTGCACTGGCAAATTTGTGTGGGTGACACTCATAGTGTGATATATGTGCATATCTACACTGCTGTCCAAAAGTTTGGAAACACCCAGGCAAAGAGGGGTTTTGGACAGCATCATCATAAATCCTTATTATTTTGTGATGACTCTGCATTAATAAGGGACAACACAAAATATGTAAACACTATATTACATAAACAATGAATTCACAACATGGAAAATAGCTATTGATAAATCATCTCTAAACTGTGTTCTGCTTGGTCTGTTGTGTTCTAACATTAATTGGCAAACAATCAGTAAAGCTATAAAGGTGTGTGACCCAATAATCTAGAGAAAAGAAACCATATATTACCCCACTGACAGGGTAAGCAGCCATCATAGTGCTATGGAGGCACTGCCTCTGTGAACTTTTTTCTCCTCACTTTTAACTAGGCTGGATGTAGGGGCACCATGAAGAGTTTTAAGGGGGTATGCGAGGCAGAAATTTGGCCCGCCTTCTTCCAGATTTTTTTTTCTTTTTCTATGTTTTTTCTTATGACACTTAGTAAGAAATTGAAAGAAACTGAAAAAGAATTTGAAATAATTTATTAGTTAACATTTATATTATTTCATGTAACATTGGAATATTTTATTTCAAGTAACTTTTATTTCAAGAAACAAAAATGTTTTTTAAAGGGGTCATCGGATGCTCATTTTCCACAAGTTGATATGATTCTTTAGGGTCTTAATGAAAAGTATATAGCATACGTTGGTTAAAATTTCTCAATGGTAGTAAAAACCTTTTTACATTGTTAAAATCAGCTCTTTTCATAGCAACCCGTTTTGCTGCATTTCCCTTTAAATGCTAATGAGCTCTGCTCACCCCGCCCCTCTCTTCTGTGGGGTGACGAGCCGTCCTGTTTACTTTAGCCACATTTAGCCGCGAAACTTGCTAACTAGCACATTATTAGGAAAGGCGATTTGCAAAGATTCATAAAAACCCTTATACTCACTTAATCTGTAGATTAAGCTGGATCACGAATGATTTGCGCGAACAATGACGCATTTAGGCAGATCGGAGGGCGCATTCCCTTCAAAAACGAAAGTAACGTTAATCCTCTGCATCTTTAGCGGCTCAGATGTCGGGAGTAAATGACGACTGCTATGTTCATTATTACATCCAACAACAGAACACCTCAATCGCTATGGAGACATTCTTGTCTATGTCCCTGCTCCGGCATCAAAACAATGGCGGTCGGACTGTTACAGCTCACTCAGGGCAGGTCTAAGGTAAGACGGCCGTGTCAATCAACAATCGTGGGAGCGACCTTGGTCCGTGTGACGTCACACAGACAAGAACAAGCGGCAACCTTCTGGACTCTCTCGTGAAACCAACACGGAAGTGACTAAAACTGCAATTCATCGACTGGCCGCTAGAGGCTGGCTCAAATTAATGCCCAAATTAACAGCAGAAAAAAATATGTTTACAGCCTGGTACAATAAGAGGTTTTGGTCTATATAACTAATTCTGCCCTTCATGACAACTGTGAGGGGGGTGAATGTTTTTATAACTCCTTTTAAATTAAGAAGCTGAGAACGGCCTGATTTGAAAAAGGGGATATAATTTATAGAGTTTAAAAAAATACCACTGGGTGGATTTTTATCATTATAGGGTGGTTGTGTTCACACACTGCCAACACACATTTATGTTCAAATAACATGTAAAAGTGAGTTTTGCATCCGATGATCCCTTTAAAGCTTTAATTTTAGTGGTTCAAATTTTTACTTAAAAAAGTTGTTATCATTGTTTTTGACCCATGTTATCTTTTATTCTAATAAATAAGCTTATATAACATCAACATTTTAGACACCAGTTCAATTTTACAATTCTCGATTCAAATTTCAATACCACAGCAAAAAGATCTAGCCTAACAAATTTCAAACATTATTAAAGTGAACAGTCGGTAAATAAAAACAAATGAACAAATTACAAGCAATACCACAAATAAATAAATATAACAAAGATACAAATTAAAAGAGCATTTTAGGTGTTCAGGTACAGAAACTGAATAATCAAATGTAAAATAACATTGCATCTTCTTCACTGCATAAGTTAAATATAGATTAATAGTTGTTAAAGCTAAGTTATTCAGTCAAGAGCAGTGAGTGATTTTCTCTTTTATATATTTATCTATTTTTATTTTTTTCTTGAATTAACATTAAGGACACCAATAGCACCTGGTAAATAAGGCACGGTCACTTTAAATAATAAATGCTCTGTTTTTGTAGACCAATGCGCATCAGCATCACCTTGGCTCCCTCAACAAAAACCCAGAAGAATTTTCCATTGGCTTTTGGTTTATTGCACAAAATAAGCTCTTAGACCAAAGGTTTGATTCATACATGTTCTGTTTATCATGACTATTGTAAAAGTAAAATGTAAAGGGGAGATTAGTTAATGTCCTAATGTACATTATAACTTGAAGCTACTGAACCCCAGCAGCTCCTAACCAACCCATGATGGTACTTTCCTACCAGCTGGATGTAACTGCATCAGATCAGACTGGATGAAATATCTGCTGCAGCTTTACAACATGCATATGCTGTCTTGCACAGGTCCCACAAAAAGCTTACACTCTAGAAACTTTTGCAACTGTTTGCTAATTAGCTGAAAAAGGCATCAAACCTGTCTTGAATAAGACCAAGAAAGAATCATCCAGCAAAGCCTTTGCCAGAAACAATCTGCTGGTGTCATCTGTTGTCTTCTGAGCTCTCTTACACAGAGATGGCAGAGTCAATGTGACCCAATCATCTAAACCTATCTGCAGCGGGTGCTCTGACTGCAGCGCACGAATGCCCCCTTCCATCTCTGCCCAGACCACCTCGCCTAGAGAGCTATTTTTAGCTACAGGCCTAATGGGACTCTTCTCATCTACTTAGCCAGAGAGACGCTGTTAACTGTAGTCTAGTGGCGTAGCCAGCTGACTTCAATAACGAGTAATAA